GCTTCCAGCGTTTCCAGATGGCTCGGGGGGGCAGGGCCCCCCAAAAGGATCCCAACATTTCGAGACATTAATGTCGTTGGTAGCGGTTAGGCGACGGGGAATTTCAGCAGCATGCATCCGGACCAGATGTAGCGTCTCTGGCAGCAGCGAAGCTTTGTCTCGCGAGGTTCTTGTTTCATTCATGTGGTACCGACTCGGGAAATGTCACGCTGGCGCTTGCATTGCTATTTTCGCCTCTGGGGGCCGGCCATCGGCCCCAGGACCGTTGAAACAATGACGGGGGACGATGGGTCTGGGCGTCTGCGCCCGCAAGACGGCGGGCAGCGCCTCTAACCTGCAACTATGCTGGCCCCTGCCTGGGCTCATAACCCTGGCTGGGACCCCCCCCCCTGGGAGGAGACCCACGGCAAGGTGTCTCCCCTCACGGGCGGTGTGCCACACCCCGACCTTGTCGAAGCTGCCAAGGGCCTCCCGGAACGGAGCTGAGACCACGCGCGAGTAGGCGACGACGTACAACTTCGCATGACTCGCCAACTGCCGGTGGTTCAGCAGCTCCCGGTCGGTCCACGCCTGGTCGGAGTAAGCTCGAAGAGGTCTTGCTCCTCGGCCTCCGCGGCCATGGGACACCTGGCGATGAACTCGAAGAGGCCCTTTGCGGCCTGGTGGGCAGGAACGCTGACACCGTGCTCGATGAGGTTATCCTCTTCTTCTTCAGCCTCGTCGTCCTCCGAGGCGTGGTGGAGGACATTGCATTCGTACTCGACGAGGTGTTCCTCCATGTCCTACCCGATCTGGTTGGTGGACGGGGATGCGGGCGTCGGGCTCGAAGAAGTTCTGCTCCTCCTCGTCCTCAACGGCCTGGCTGTGGGAAGCGCCGTCGCCAATCTCGAAGAGGCCCTCCTCCTCCTCCTCCTCCTCTTCCTCCTCCTCCTCCTCCTCCTCCTCCTCCTCCTCCTCGGTCTCGGCCTCCGCGGCCATGGATAACCTGGCAATGAACTGTAAGAGGTCCGCCTCTTCCTCCTCTACGCCTGGGTGGACGGGGTGCTGGTCACCCAGCCCGGCGCAAACGGCGTGCAGCCGCCCTCCTCGTCTGCAGGGGCCTATCTCCTCCTCGCGAGGGTCCTCGCCTCCTACCATCTCATCATCGCACGAGGCGCCGCCGAGAGAATCCTCTGGCCAAGCTTCGCGAGGCCGCACTCCAGCAGGAGACTCAGATGTTTCGGGAGGCTTGGCGGCGACACACTGAGAAGGGGCTCCACCGTCACCGATTGCAAAATACCCTTCTGCAGCATCAGGCACCCCCAGCTGATGCGCACGAGGGAGAGCCTCAGCTCCAGGAGAGGTCGTCATCCTGAGGCGTTCCGCATTGTCCTTCACGGAGATAGCGGACGCGGGCCACGGTCTTGACGCCCTTTGGGACGATCTTCCATCTTCAGAGGAAGCGCCACGCCATTGGTGCGGAGCAGCTCGGCAGCATGCTCCGAGCTCGGCAGATGGTGCAGTGCAGCCCGGACGGCATCCATCTCCGAGACATTGGGCGTCGCGCAATGGCGCAATGGAGGAGGAGGAGGAGGAGGAGGAGGAGGAGGAGGAGGAGGAGGAGGAGGAGGGGGAGGAGGAGGAGGAGGAGGAGGAGGAGGAGGAGGAGGAGGAGGAGGACCCCCCATCTATGACCCCCCCAGTAAGCCACGCCCAACGACAGCCACGCCACAGGGCTGCGGAGGGGTCGCGGGGGCACCCTGAGGGCGCGAAGGGCGGGCCCGGTTCGCCAGGGCGCCGAGCTCGCGCAGCTCCTCCGCCTCCAGCTTCAAGCCCAGGCCAGCTCCGCCGCGATGGCCAGCTGTGCTTGGCGTGTTTGCCACCACCACCACCACCGCCACCACCACCACCACCATGAGCTGGAGGGGGGGGAAAGGAGGTGGAGGACGAGGAGGAGGAGGACGAAGAGGAGGAGGAGGAGGAGGAGGAGGCGGAGGTGGAGGAGGAGGTGGAGGAGGAGAAGGAGGTGGAGGAGGAGGAGGAGGAGGAGGAGGAGGAGGAGACGCCCCTCCCCCTCCAACTTATGGGGGGTGGACAGACCTCCTACCCTGACGCGTCGATTAGCGAATTGGCCGTCTTCGGTTCGCGAGAGGGCGTCGCGGCCCTCGTTTTTGCGGATCCAGGTCGGCCGGTTTCGGTCCCTTGCCGTTCTCGCTAAAGGGAGGTTAACTAAAGGGAGGTTTGTCCACCGCCGAAGCTACATGATGGAGCGCACAAGGATCGCCGAAATTCGCGGCCGCCTTCTGGGCAGCGGCCTGCGCGCGCGGGAGGCCCCGCTTCAGCGCGCCAGGCCCCCCCCCACGGCGTCTTGCAAGCGTGCGGGCCGATGCTGCAGCCCAGTCCGCGCCTCCCGGTGCCATGGTCGCTGGCGCGCGCCCGCGAGCCCACTTGGAGCGCGCGCGCGCCGACGTTGTCCTCCCGAGCGCCAGCTCGCTTGAGCCAGAATGGCTACGGGAGCCACGTCGTCGGGGGCCTGGTGAACTCAGACACCTGGCGGCGTGATTTTTGTCCAGGCGTGGGTCACGGGCGATGTCAGGGGGGATAGGCTCACGCGGGGACGCATCGACGCCCAATCGCCCATTGCTCGCCGATAGGGGATAGGGGCCCAACCCCAGACATGCGACGTCCTGTTTGTTTCAGGACGGTGACCCCGCAAGTCCCGACCTTTTCCCCAGGACCGGCTTTTCATCCTGAGTCGTTGTCTGACGCTAACGAAGCCCGGCGAGGGCTCTCCGAGACCGAAAACGGCCAGGAACTTCCCGTCCTGATTTTTCCCAACCATCCTGTGGTGTTGGGTCCTCGTTTTGAAGAGACGGTGCCCCGCGTTCTCCTTCCTTCCTTCCTTCCTTCCTTCCTCCCGCTGCCTCCTCCCCCCTCCCATCATCATCATCATCATCAACACCAATTTCGGCACACCCCTCACACGTTTCGTGGCTCCATAGGGAGCTCCACCGAAGGCCCCAGTGCCCGCGGCCGCATGCGTCCCCCACACCGATTTCGGCACACCCCTCACACGTTTCGTGGCTCCATAGGGAGCTCCACCGAATGGCCCCAGTGGCAGGCGGCCGCATGCGTCACCAACACCCATGTCCCGGCACACCCATCAACAGTTCGGGGTTCCATAGGGCGCTCCACCGAAGGCCCCAGTGCCCGCGCCGCATGGCGTCACCCACACCCAATTCGGCACACCCCTCACACGTTTCGGGCTCCATAGGGAGCTTCCACCCCATAGGGAGCTTCCACGAAGGCCCCAGTGGCCGCGCCGCATGCGTCACCCACACCCATTCGGCACACCATCACCACGTTCGTGGTTCCATAGGAGCATGCTCCACCGAAGGCCCCGGCGGGGGGCCCGGGGCCGCATGCGTCACCCACACCCATTTCGGCAAACCCCTCACACGTTTCGTGGTTCATAGGGAGCTCCACCGAAGGCCCAGTGCCCGCAGGCCCGCATGCGTCACCCACACCCATTTCGGCAAACCCCTCACACGCTTCGTGGCTCCATAGGGAGCTCCACCGAAGGCCCCAGTGCCCGCGCCCGCATGCGTCACCCACACCCATTTCGGCACACCCCTCACACGTTTCGTGGCTCCATAGGGAGCTCCACCGAAGGCCCCAGTGCCCGCGCCCGCATGCGTCACCAAAACCCATTTCGGCACACCCCTCACACGTTTCGTGGCTCCATAGGGAGCTCCACCGAAGGCCCCAGTGCCCGGGGCCGCATGCGTCCCCCACACCCATTTCGGCACACCCCTCACACGTTTCGTGGCTCCATAGGGAGCTCCACCGAAGGCCCCAGTGCCCCCGGCCGCATGCGTCACCCACACCCATATTCGGCCAGCTCGGCCACACCCCCTCACACACCTCACACGTTCGTGGCGCCATAGGGAGCTCAACCGAAGGCCCCAGTGCCGCGGGCCCCGCATGCGTTCACACACACGCATTTCGGCACACCCCCCCCCTCACACGTTTCGTGGCTCCATAGGGCTCCACGAACCAATAGGGCTCCACCGAAGGCCCCAGTGCCCGCGGCCGCATGCGTCCCCCACACCCATTTCGGCACACCCCTCACACGCTTCGTGGCTCCATAGGGAGCTCCACCGAAGGCCCCAGTGCCCGCGGCCGCATGCGTCACCCACACCCATTTCGGCACACCCCTCACACGTTTCGTGGCTCCATAGGGAGCTCCACCGAAGGCCCCAGTGGCCGCGGCCGCATGCGTCACCCACACCCATTTCGGCACACCCCTCACACGCTTCGTGGCTCCATAGGGAGCTCCACCGAAGGCCCCAGTGCCCGCCGCCCGCATGCGTCACCCCCACCCATTTCGGCACACACACCCCGCATTTCTCGCACGGCAGGGTCATCACCGCGGTGGCGTGCCAGGGGCGCACCATGCGCGAAGGCGACGGGGCGGGGGAACGGCGCTCCGGGGGCGGCCAGACCTCCGGGGCGCGAGCAGTCCGCGGCCAGACCATCTCTCGGTCCTGTGGACTCTCGCCCTGGGCCGTCGGCTGCCCGGCGCGCTGCTCCCTCGGTCGACGTCGCCCAGGCGTGATCCTGGATTGCGGCCGCCACGAGGTAGGGAACGGCAAGAAGGAGGACGACGACTGGTGGCTGGAGCTCTACGTGCTGCTCTCGCGCGCCACGCGCCACGAGGACCTCCTGCTCATGCGGGCGCCGCGCATCGAGTTCTTCCTGGCAGGGCCGCCGCAGGGCTTGCGGAAGCAGCTGGAGCAGTTTGCGGCGCGCACGAAGCGGTGCAGGAGGGAAGCGACGGCCCTCGCCAGGGAGCTCGGCTTCACCGAGTTCATCCGCGAGGCCTGACCTGAGGAGCGTCTCCCCCGAGCCGCGCCTTCTCTCGACTGCCCGACTAATTGTTTGGCCTCGCGCCGCGGACGACCCGCGCGCGTCGCTGGGACCCTCTCGGGGCGACCAGCGCGCGTCGCGGGAACTCCGTGCTGCGGGGGGCCCGGCGCCTCGTTCGCCCGTCGTCGCTCTGCCCAGCGGTCAGAGACTTGCCCGCTATCAGCCAGCCAGTTAGCTAGTCAGCTCTCTCTGCTTCGCGCAGCGGACGACCCGCGCGCGTCGCTGGGACCCCGCCCGGGGCGACCAGCGCGCGTCGCGGGGACTCCGCGCTGCGCTGCTCGCGACGTGCGGACGCTGCCGTCGGGGTTCCCGCGGAAGCTGCCTGCGGCGGCCACGCCCAGTGTCACGTGTGTTCGGACAGGCATGCTCGACACTTACACTAGGCGGTTCCATGATCGCATTCATGCAAATATATTCACTCGCGCGCAGACCCATTCATACTCAGATTCCCTCGCGCTCTGACTCACCCGCGTTCTTTCTCTCGTAATCAGATCTATCGTATTCTTTTGCGTTGTGTACCCCGCCACATTTCGGCACACCCCTCATGCGGTTCGTGGCCCCATAGCGATACTCACAACTGCATATGGTTGGGTCCTTCGCCAGGATAATTTTGTCGACGCGATCATGCCTGGGACTCTCCCGCCCCGCCCAGGAACATGCGGTTCCGCTATCGGGGGCCTATCGCCGATGCATCGACATCGCGTTGGCGATTCCTGGTCGATGTCTTCACCCTTGAGCCGCTCCCCCCCCCAGGACCTCTCCCCCCGGGTGCCTTCCGACCAGGCTTGCGAGGCGGATCCAGCGGTGGCGACGAGGGCCTCCCAGGAGGCCCCAAAAAGGGGAACGCCACGGGGCGAACGGTAGTGGTATGGGTACCTCTTCATTCTCGGCCTGTTTTCCACCATCACCACCATAAGTTGGAGGGGTGGAGGAGGTGAAGGATGAGGAGGAGGAGGAAGAAGAGGGGGAGGAGGAGGAGGGGGAGGAGGAGGAGGAGGAGGAGGAGGAGGAGGAGGAGGAGGAGGAGGAGGAGGAGGACCCCCTCCCCCTCCTGCTTATGATGGTGGTGGAAAGCAAGCCCACCACCCCCACCTGCCGATCCCCCGCCCCCCCGTGGGGCGCCCCCCCTCTGAGCGCCACTCCGCGGGAGAGCCGCGCCGCGGGGGCCCCGCCCGCCCGCGCGGAGCGGAGAGGCGGAGTCGAGCGACGCGGGCAAGCAGCTCGCGCTCGCGGGCGGGGCCGGGGGCGACGACAAGAAGAAGCTGACGCTCGACGAGGCACCTTCTCTCAGAGGAGGGGGATGTCAAGTCGCGCATGTCCCTCTGCAGGAGGACATCTCCAGAACGGCCAGGAGATGGTCTGGGGACGATTTGTCGTGCTGTGTCTGACTCTTGTCGGATATTGGTTTGATTATTCTCTATGTTTCGTCCAAATGCGCCTGTGGGAGGACATGCACGACCTAAGGGAACGGTGCCGACGCGGTCAAGGCTTTGGAATGGGGACCACTCCCTGCTCAGGAGGGGCTCTGCTTCGTGCTGCTCCTGAGACTGGGGCCGGGAAGCCTGTTTCTTGACCGAGGCTCGCCGTGGCCTGCGAAACCCATTCGTTTCTTATGTGGCGTTCCTCGTGGTAGCACGATGGCTGTACCGATACCATTACGCTTCCTTCGTCGCCACGGCTGAGTTCGCCTCGAAATCCTGGTCAGAACGCGCCCAGGGGAGGGACATCCAACATCGGTGTGGGAATATGTTCGCTGTGTCTTTCTGTTCCGTCATCTCCGCTTGATTCACTGTGTCGGTGCCATTATCGAAGGCGCCTCTGGCAAGGCACCCGCCGCCGCCTGCCTTCTGGGGACGCCCACGCCGTGAAGCGTCGAGCGAATGGGAGGCCACTCTTGTGGGCCGCGGCGCTCCCCAGCTGGTGGGTTAGCCACCGGGGAGAGCAGTGGGGTTGGGGCTTAGTGGGCCCTGGAAACGACAGGGCCGTTTTTTACCTGTTCCGTTTTGCCGTTTTTGTTGCCGGTTCCGACGCCGTTTTTGTTACTGGTTCCGGTTTCGGTTCCAATCCTGGAGCCGTTTTGTTGCCGTGTCCGGTCAACGTTTTTTTGCCGTTTCTGTTTTCAAGGACATTTTTTTTGAAACGGTGAAAAAACGACCCTGCCGTTTCCGGGGCCCACAAAGAGTTGGGGCCGCCTGGGGCCCTCTCGAGCCAGGTTGGGGCCGTCCGAGGGGGGGCACGCTGCGGCCACGCCGGGCGCCTTCGGAGGCCGTCTGTGGGGCCTTGTCCGGGCCGTGGAGGGTCCGCGGGTGGTTCGTGGGGCCCCTTCGGTGCGCTGTGGAGGCCGTCTCGGTGCCCGTCTTGGGGCCGTCGTGGGGCCCTTTTGGAGACCTTTTCGGCCGTCTTGGGGTGATATTGGATACCTCTTGGGCAGTCTGGGACGCTCTTGAACCGGACAGGGGGCAGCCATCAGATCGTTGAATCACACATACTGAGCATCTAAGATGTGTGCCTCTCGACGCTCTCCTAGGGGACCTCTTGTAGCCTTACTGGGTCGTATTGGGGGCATTTTGGACTGGGGTCGTCTTGGAACGACTACATGGCGATCGAGGCCATCTAAGAATCCACTGGTGCCATCTTGGACCGACTTGATGGCGATCGAGGCCCTCGTTGAGGCCCGCTTGGAGCCGTCTTAGGCTGGAAAGCCATGTGAGATTTCTTTTCCAGGTGGCCGGCTGGTCAGGGCGAAGGTCTTCGGCCCATCCCGCCACCATTCATGAGTAAGTGACAAGGGGTTTATAAGCGGCCTCAGAGAGTCACTTGGATCTTCGAAACTTGTCTGGGGCGTCTCGGGTGCCTCTGAAAGGCCTCTCGGGATATTGGGGACTTCACGGGGGGGACCTCTTGGGGCTTATTGGCGGTCTCGGTGACCATCTTGAGGCGAAGGGCTCCGAATCTCAGTTGGAGTTTCCCCTCTTGGTGGCTTTGGGGGCCGTCCTGAAGCGATCTCGAGGACCTCTTGGACCTTCTTGGACGACCTTGAGATCGAAACGTCTGGAGTATTTGAATTGTACAACAAAGCAGAAGTGTGATGCTTGGTGTTGGACTTATGGACTGGCCCGCGATGCCTCCAACATTGCCCAAGAGACCCCAAATATCGCCCCAGGACGATCCCCTGGTGCCGTCTTGGAGCATGTTGGAGGTGCGAAACCACGGCTATGTTCCCGAGGCCTCTGGCAGAATCAGTCGGGGATTCTCGGGAGCGTTCGAGAGCGCCCAAGGACGCCCTGAACATTCGGGCCCCTCTTTAACAGAGCAATGTCTACAACGCCCAGAACCCGAAGGGACGTGAGGCTGTTTGCCTCCGTGCCTCGCGGCACGGTCACGGACACTCAGAGAATCGACCAGACGTAAGAGAGACGTTCCGACAGAGTGACTCTTGGTGCGGGCTACCTGGGGTCCCCCCGTCGCTGAGCGCGAAGCGGCAGCTGCGGCTCGCGCGCCTGGTTTTGGCTCCCTCGCCCCCTCCTTAAAGCCGCGCGCCAAAGGCCACTCCTGCCCAGGGTCACTCCTTGCGTGTAGCCGAGAGGAGTGAGGTCCGCACTGAGGCCAGGCTTCTGGCCATGATCCTCGGGCCGACAGGTGGGCTCCACGAGCCCGAAGGCGCCTTCGCAGCCCGTGGCCCGAGGTTCCGCGGGTCTCGGGCAGCGGCCGTCTGTGCCTCGAGGTGCTCCGCTTCCCGCACTGGGCTGCCGCCAGGGGTCCGAGGAGTATTCTGCCCTCGGGGCGTGCTGAAGGGTCCCTCTGATGCTGCGCACTCATCGTGGGTATCGCTCACAAGCTGGCCTCGGCGAGCTGTCTCTCCAGCACCCACTCTACAAAGCGTGCGCTGCCTCGTCGTCGCTCCGCGCGCCTGGCGCGCAGGAGCGTGATTCGCGGTCGTCCTTATCGCGCCTCCTGTTTTACCCTCCATGCCTCTTCGCGTCCTCTTTCAAAGCCCTGCCACGTTTTCAAGCAGCAGGGGAACGGCCACGGTCACGGAGTGGAGGACGGGAGACGCTTTTGCCATCTGGGCCGGATTAACACAGTCAGTCCGCATAGCAGGGATGAGCAATGTTCCAAGGCTGCCGTTGCATCCTTGGCCCTCCGGCCCATCCTCAGCGACTTCCGTTGGCCAACTCGCTCGGGAAGCGTCAACATGGCCCTCGAAGGCCACCGAACCCTTGCTGGGCACCCTCGTTGTACGCGTTGACTGCCGGCCAGGACCGCCAGGCGGACCGAGCTCAAGCGATCGGATCGAGTTGGCGTTCGTCTCGCGTTCTCCCTGCCTGCCTGCCCGGGGCAGGCAGCGCACGCCCTCGGGCGTGACAGGTGATGTGCACGGAGAGGCTGGGGCAGCGCAGCCCGCTCCATTCCACTGCAGACACTCACGACCTCGAGGGCGTGGTGCCTCTGTGCCTCCAGTCTCCGCTCGTGCATGCTTCCTCGTGCGTCCATTCACCGCCGCCGTTGGCACGAAACTGGTCGTTTCTGAGCGTGTGCCCGTGCGCTGATGAAAACGGCGGGTGCTCTGACCGCTGCTGCGCTGCCTTGAGACTGTCCATGCAAGTTGGTTTGGATGGTGGGCGCAGTGGTGGGAGGAGGGGCCGCTATGGGAGGGGCCGCTATTTGGTCTTTGCCGCACGGGGGCGATAGGGTACACAAGAGGGCGGGCCAGCGCCCGCAATGCATGCGGTGTCGATGCTCGCGGTGCCCAGAGGTGGGCTCTCTTGGATTGCTCCGCGGTCGCGTGTTGCGTCGAGGGCACCAAGGCGCGCGGCCCCAGTCGCCCACTCATCGCCTCGAGGGGCTGTATGACCCACCCCGCCCAGGCCCAGGGACGTGCGCATTCGCGATGGGGGGCTTATCGCCGATGGATCTCCAGCTCCATGTTTTCCCCCGGTGAGCCTGTTCCCCCAGAACGCTTCCTCTCAGGGCAGGTGGGAAGGGGAAGGGGAGACAGGTGTTCTCCCAGGGACTGTCCCTTCCAGAGGTGGCGACGAATTTGACGCAGCTGGCCCTCGAGGGCGCGCTCGACCCGGTGGTGGGGCGCGAGGACGGCTCCTCGCTGCCGCTCGTTTAGTGGTTCCTTTGTTCCCGCCCCCCTCCCGCCTCGTCGCCCGTCGTCGTTCCTCCCGCGCCGCGTACTCCTGAACGGACACGAGGCCTTGCAGTACGAGCTGGGCTGAGCGCGGGGTGCGGGCAGGGAGCGCCCTCCTCAGCCACACGCGCTGGTGTGTTGGCTGAGCCTTGACTCGCGAGACCCCGCGGGCGTAAGGAGGAGGAGGAGGAGGAGCAGGAGGAGGAGGAGGAGGAGGAGGAGGAGGAGGAGGAGGAGGAGGGGGAGGAGGAGGAGGAGGAGGAGGAGGAGGAGGAGGAGAACGAGGAGAACGAGGAGAACGAGGATAAGGATGAGGGTCATCACCCTTTCGGGGGGCGCCCAAGGGGGCGCATCGGCCTGCGTCCGCTGGCCCCGCGTCCTCCTCTTCCCTGCGTTCGCGCGCGAGCTCGGCTTTGAGGCCTGCTGGATCCAGCGCGGTGGGGACCAGAGGGCGGGCTGAGCCCAGAAGCCTGCTCCCGCTGGAGATCCGCAGGACTGACGAGGAGGATGAGGAGGCTTCTCTGCTCGTCGCTGGCCCGCTGTGCCCCTCGCCTGTGCTCTCCTTGAGTTTTTGTTGGAGCTCCCGATCTGTCAGAAGCGCTGTCGAGACCCTCCGCCGTGAATACGACGAGGGGCCGTTTGTCCAAGCGCTCGGCGGCTCCAGCGGAGGGTCCTCTGCGGGACGAGACTTGTTCAGGAGGTTCCGTCTGGCCCACCCGAGGCGATGCCGAGAACGGAGCCTCGGGGTTCCTCCTGCAGGATGGTCAGAGGGTGTGTTGAAGGGGAAACAGGCAACACCCGACGTAAGGAGCTAGGAACTTGCTGGCGCGCGAGGGAGGAGCGCATGCACAGTGTAGTTGCTGAGGTCATGGCTGGATTCGGTGGGATGTGGCACGCGATTGTTGCGACGCGTGCGAGGCGAGATGTACATAAACAACGCTGGCAACTGCGATCGCTGTTGGCGTGCATGGCGACGCTACCAGCGAGGCGTATGTGCGCATATCGAGGCCGAGGCTGCGCAGGCGCTTCGAATGTGTCCGGAGGCACAGATACGATTTCGGGACGAAAGGGGAGATATAACTGCGCCTGAATGTTGCCACGAAGGGTGGGAGGTGGTTTCCCACGCACGCACACACACACACACACAAACACTGTAGAAACAGCTCGCGATTGCAATGCGCAGCTCGTAAAACAAAACTTAGCATGCGTACCTGTTCAGGCGATATGATCTACCTACAAGACCAGCCAACATTCGATAAGGAGCTTGGTGGTGGAACCAATGCCCGAACAACCTTCGGGACAACCTACTCCATCCATCGAGCAACGTGCATTGGCCAGTCTACACATCGATGCCAGTACCCATTTATACAAGAAATTGCTGTGCAGCCAACTGCAGACATCCACCTATTTACAGACATGTATAACCATACACACACATAGAAACATATATATATATATATATATATACGCACTAACACACATGTACATATACATATACATATTTATGTGCATATGTACATAAAGAAATGCATTCCTCGTTTTCTATTTTTTGCAAGCCTGGGCGGGAGGACCCCCCCGAAGAAAAAACGTGCTCCCGGGACCTGGGGCTTTTGGACCCTTCGGACGGGCCTCGAAGCGGCCCCCCGGGCCTCGCAGGGCGTTTTGCCAAGTCTTCCCAGTACACATAGGGCGATCAGGGGGGTCATCGGAGACGTCTCAGAGGCCCCCAAGACAGCACAAGAGTGCTCCAGGAGTGACCAAGGTGACCTCAAGATGGCCCAAGAGGCCTCCAGGACGGCCCCAAAGAGGCCTCCAAGAGCACCCCCAAGAAAGCCCCAAGAGGCAAACATCATTGAATTTCTAGTGGTTGTTGGTGAATGTTGGGGTTCTCCTCGTTTCGGTCCCCCGACGCTCCAAGACGGCGGTCTTCTGGGCGTCCGAAGCCGCCTGGGAGGCTCCCAACAAATGGCCCCACAACCATCCGAAAGGGCTTCCAGGCAGCCCAAGAGAGCCCCAAAACGGCACAACACGGACCCAAGATGGCCTTCAGAGAGCCCCATGCCCCATGGCGGCCCAAGATGGCCCCAAGACACCCCCTGAAGCATTCCAAATCGTGACCCGGTCGTTCAAGGAGACCGCGGTTGGAGGCAGGGTGGCCCGAGGAAGCCCCCAGAGGCCCGCAGAATACGCCCAGGAGGCTTCCAGAAGGCCTTAAAAAAACTTGAAACAATTTTTCTGAGACCCCCTGAGGCCCTCCCAAGAGGAGCCTCCGCAAAAACAAATGAGGAGGATGTGGAAAATGCGCAGCGTTTGCCGAAACTGATGAGAGTAACAAAAAAACAGAGGAAGGATACCGAATAACATTAGCATGGCGGCGATGCCGGAACAGGCAACAAGGAGTTATCGCTAAATTGTCGGCGTGGCTTTCCTGCTATTCCGCCTGCGTGCCAAACTTCAAGGACCAAGGTGCATGGCGCGAAGCGCCACTGCAGCCTTGTATGTATATGTAGATGTATATGTATTTATGTATTTGCATTTGTATTTGTATTTATATATATATATAAATTCATATTATATATATATATATATCAACATGTCCACTCAATTTAGTCTAACTTTATATATACATACGGAACTATATTTGTATTTCTGTATATACATACATGGCAACCACCCGGAGATCATATATCTATATATATATATATATATATTAGTTTCAACGGAGTCGGGCGCAATGCCGTCCACGTCGGCCGCAACGCCCAGTGGCGTCTGGGCGCAATGCCCACTCGGGCGCAATGCCGCCCTCCACGGGCGCACTGCCCACCAGCGTTTGGGCGAATGCCCTCCTCGTCGGGCGCGATGCCCATTTGGGCGCAATGCCCTCCTCGTCGGGCGCAGTGCCCCACAATCGGAGGCAATGCCCTCTTCGTCGGGCGCAGTGTTCAGTGGCGCCTGGGCGCGATGGGACGTCAGATATGGCGCGCGCACCTTGCCCCACCTTCTCTCTTGCCCCACGGCCCACCCACCTCCCCCCTTTCCCAAACATTATCCTTGTCCGCGTGCCTTTCCTTTCATTCCTCTTTCCATATCCATCCTCTCCTGTTTGCATTGCCATCTCTTCGTAGGTAGCGTCGTGCCCAAGACGCGTCTCCCCACGCAACGCGGTTTCTACCAAACTACTCACAGCAATCTTGTCGCTCGCCTGCTACGCCGCAAAGAGCCAGCGCCCAGCGAAAGCGACTACGCGCGTGGAGAACGCAGACATGACCGCCAACGGTCTCCACTTCGCCGTCGTCTGCGACGGCGTCTCAGGGGCGCCTCCTCCACTTCAGGCAGAGGGCCTCGCGCGGGACGTGCGCGACTGCCTGCGCGTCTTCTTGTCCAGGCGGTTCAGCCCGCGCACGCACAGGCAGCAGTTCGACAATGGTGTGCTCGAGTGCCGGTTCTCGTATGCACCCGCCCCTTCCACCTTTGAAGCTCGGCTCGCACTCCTGCGCGTGCTGGTGGCCACGCGCGCAAGAGCACTCGGCAGCAGTTGCTTTGCTGTGGCCACCACCGCCGGCCAAAATGTGACGCGCTACAACCTCGGAAACTGCACAGCGCCCCGCTTTCGCTGGAATTCCGCCGCTGGCGCGTGGCAGATGTTACGGACCAGCGAGAGCCAGGCCGTGATGGCTGACGCCCACGGAAACCGCGCGCTCGGACCGCATCCGTCATCCTTTCTCAGCGAGGGGCCGAGCAGCTCGCGAACGCGGCCGCGTCGTCGAATCGATCGCCCGCGGCCGCAGACATCCTGGAAGTTTGCGCGCGGCCCCGGGTGCCCAAACCCGATGACGTCAGCGCGTGCGCGGGCACTGTAGTCGTTCTTCGGCGCGCCCCTACCGCCAGGGGCCAGACGTCGACGAGCGGAACATCTGCGCCACTGAAGAGCAGCCGCCCTTGATCGGAAACGCGCCGCTCCCGCGCAGAGGAGGGGCTCTAGTCGCGAGGCCATGGGTCCCTTATGCGAGCCGGCCGCTGGCGCGACCGAGCGCGACCACCGAGGGCCGCACAATCGTTAACAGAACGCCCGTGCTCCCAAAAATCAATCGCCCTTGGAAAGGGCATGCGTCGTCTCGCGCAGACAAAGGGCTCTCGCCGCGGAGCCGTGGACTCCTGCGGGAAGGCGGCCGCCGGCTCGACCGATTTGCGCATCTCGACCGCCGGGGGCCACGAACGCGCGGGCAAAGCGGCCGCGCTCTTGAAAAGCAGCCGCCCGCGAAAGGAAAACGCGCATGTCCCACGCTGAGGAAGGGCCCTCGCCGCGGGGCCATGGGTTCTTTGGCAAAGCGGCCGCACCCCTAAAAACCGATCCGTTGACAAAACAGCCGTGCTCCTCTGAAACAGCCGCCTTTGATGAGGAAGCGCGCCTTTCCCGCGCAGAGGATGGGTTCTTGCCGCGGGGCCATGGACTCCTTCGCGGAAGCGGCCACTGGCGCAACCGATTTGTGCACCTCGACAACCTGGGAACGAACGTCCATGAACGAACCCGTCGCACTCCTGAAAAGCACCCGCCTTTTGACAGGAAAGCGCGACGCTCTCAGGGAGTGGAAAGGCTCTTGCCGCGAGGCCATGGATTCCATAGACACAACGGCCACCCGCACAGCCGATTTGCGCACCTCGACCAGCAGATGCCAAACGTCCATGGGCAAAGTATCCGTGCTCGGTGAAAATTATCATCGTTTCAACCAAGAAGATTTGGCCTCGCTGCGGGACCAAGGGTTCCTTCCACCGCGGCCGCCTGGGCCCAGAGCTGCCCCGAGCAGCGGGCTCGGCCGCCGCCGCGGCCGCGCGACGCGGGCAAGCTTGTCGCGATATGCCAGCCCGCTGGGGCCGCCAGGTAGCCGATCCTGAAGCGCCCCGCGGCTGCCGCGGCGCGCCCCGGCAAAGCGGCCCGCCCGTTCCCCGCGCCGAAG